GTAAGTTTTACCTGCGCCTCCCCATACACAGATGCAATATCTGATGATGCATTCACATAGTGCTCTGTACGTCCCTAGTAAGAGGTCTACATCCCCGATGTTACGTAGATTTTTAAATATGTGTATAATTTTTCTTATTCTACTTGTCACAACCGCTATGTATGGGCCCCAGGTAAGTTGGATGTCTACTGTTATACCTAGATACTTAATGGAAGTTACACGACATAGGGTTGCACAGTCACATTTAGAGCGATTCACTCCACGATTACAGGGATACATGTGTATTTTAAGATTGTGTTTTGCAAATGGTTGGCTCATAACTGATTTACTGAAGCAGAGATATTTTGTTTTATTGCCATTTAGCGATAGAAGACTATCTTCTAGCCAAGCAGTAATTTTAGATAGGCCCTGCTCTGCTGCATGAAACACCTTGTCCCAGGAATCTTCATGAAAGATAAAAACTGTATCGTCTGCAAACATAATGATGTCCATGTGCGATCGAGTAGCAACATTACATAATTCGTTGACGTAAATGATAAATAAAGTAGGGCCGAGTGTGCTGCCTTGCGGTACACCGTGTCTGCAGATGGCGTCGTCACTTTCGATTCCTGCCACTCGTACACATTGTGATCTACCTGTTAGATAATCTGTGAACCATTCCAGAGCGACTCCTCTTATGCCAACGTTTTCAAGCCGTGTCAACAAAATCGGTGTAGATACAGTATCAAAAGCTTTTTGGAGATCCAATAAAACTCCTAGACATTTGTCACCTTTCTCTATATTTGTAACTATATTCGATGCCAGTGTTAGAACAGCATCCTCCGTTGATTTTATTGCCCTAAAACCAAATTGACAGTTGCATAGCATTTCATTTTTTTCCAGATAGTTGATTAGTCTTTTGTTAACTATTTTCTCTAATATTTTTGACATCGTTGACAATAGAGATATGGGTCGATAGTTTGATGGTTCACTTTTTTCACCCGATTTAAATATTGGGCAAACCACAGCTTTTTTTAAATTGGCCGGGAAGGTACCGGTTTCCAAACTCTTATTGCATAAGTACGTGATGGGTAAGGCAAGGGTTAAAATATTTTGTTTTAGTATTGTTGCAGTGATTTTGTCCCATCCTGGTGCACTATGCGATCTGAGTCCCATAACAATACTTCGTACTTCATGTGGATCAGTCGGTGTGAGGAATATGATGATGTATGATGTTTAAATTACGCGCTCTCACTGTTTTATTCACTATTCTTAATAACCCACCTTCGCCAACGTATCTAGCTGCCAATTTCCAACTCCTATGTAGTAATCACGACAGAAAACTTCGGTCCTCCAATAACCTTCTTCTTCGTTGTCCGTCCCACACGTCTGAGTTTGTTGGCTCTTCTTTTTTCGTTCAGTTCGTTCTTCTTTGGAATGCGCTTCCACTTGAAATCAGGATGGCTTCTCATACTTTTTCCTTTAAAGTAAAAGTAAAGCAGTATCTGCTCAAACAACTGGCAGCATCAACTTGCTCATGATTACTTTTAATTTTAATACAAAATTGTTATCAGTATCTACTTGCGTGTGTATGTATTTATATACTTTTATACAGTATTTATGTATTTATAAGGTATGTACTTATGTGTAATGTTAATATGTATAGGTGTAGTATATGACAGATATGTATATGTGTATTTATTATATGATTTTCTACAAAGTATATTTACAATATTAAATGTCTAAATTAACTGTAACTAAAATGCACCTACTTTCTGTTTTCTCTGCATCACCCAATGGTTGACTGGTAGAGAATGCCTTAAGCATTAAGTCCGCCAATACACCAAATGTGCATGATGTGTTATTTACACAAACAAACCTAAAAGTAGATTATGCTATCTAGTGTTTTGCATATGCATGTAACCTATCAACAACTTTCGTATATAATCGTCGTATATATAGTCGTCGTAATATTAATATAGATAAGAATAATAATGATTAATGAATACCTGTAATCAGTGATATTATTAAGTTTATGAATAAAACTAATTAATGTCATAAAATGCCTTCCTGGGTAATCCGAAAGTGCACAAATTACGACAAAAAGGTAAAGGAATAATATATATTTATATATAAATATGTTACGTTGGTTTGTGTACGCTTCAAAAACTCTGTACTGCACCGATTGAGCTCTTTTAACACGACATACAACCCGCTTCAAGGATTGTTCTTATCTATTTTTTGTGTCAGTTTTGTACTTCATTACTCATTAATGCAACCTCAATATGCCACAGCGAAACGTGGCAAGGTACAGCTAGTTTATTTAAAAAAAAAACGAACTGTTTTCGTAACTTCTATTACCGATAGTGGCACATCACTATTTAATAATTGCTAAAAACTAGCAACCCACGTTATGTCAGTTTTGTCTCGGAGAAAAAAAAACAGACTATAAATTAGTACTAACTTTTTAAGTAATGCGCTCACCATCAGATAACATTTCATGTTATTTAGATAGATTTAAACATACTTTAAAATTGTTGGAATTTTTTATTTACAATTTTATTACATTTTATATAATATGAAGTGGAATTTAGAAAGTCGTCGCGAGCAGTAACACTACATCAATAATCAGTTTACAATAGTCGTCACAAGTATTACTCGCAATTTCTTACAAGATAGTGTCTTAATGCAAAACTAAGTCAATTAAAACCCCACATTATTTGGTTACGAATTGTCTTCGAAATTATTAACAAGATGATGTACTTAAAAAGTGTACTACACAAATCTGATGTAATAGCAGAGATCTTTTTACACAAATAATGTACAACACAAATAATTACACAGTTCGCTATTTGAGACATTCTATGCCTAATGAATCACATACATATTTAGACTCAGTCAAAATATCATAATATAGTACAAGAATCAGTTTGCTGTGTCTCATTAATAATTAGATTACATATGTTCACTGGGACTTACATTAAATATAATAAACAAACACTTCCAGAGTCACACCAACACTCATATTTTACATAAAACTGACAAAAAATCGTTTCGACATGAGGCAGTATTTAACACTACGAGATCCCCTACCACTCATAAAAATCAACGCTTCGTTAATGCAAAAGAGTTGTGAGCGCAGAGCCACGCGCTACAACATACGAATATTACAGATTCATTAAACTTTATTACTACGGAAGAAGATATGAAACAAAACCATGAATACATATTATTTTTTATTTTACATTATCTGCAAATATTGCTACATGGAGAAGAAAGATTTTATTTACCTGACATTAATCACAACACTTATTTAAATTCCAATTGTTGCTTCGATAAATGCACCAACTTCAAAATAAATAATGATTCAATACTTTATTCGTCATTACGATAGTGAACTTCATCAACATTTGTATTATGAAAAGAAACGATTTATCGCAACATTTTGGTTCATTATTAGCACGGGCCAAACCATTTGTTCGATGCCGCGCCAAAGGCGTCATTAGTCCTGTTAAACGATGACGCTACAGCGGCGTCATGGGCCACTCTTTATGTTTTATTCACGTTTCACTGTTTAAAAATTGGTTTCAAATCCAAATGCAATATGGCGTACCAAGAAAGTTTTTCATATTTTTCATAAAATGTGTCAGTGCTTGTAAACGTTTTTGACAAATTGTTTGAATATTTAATAATATTAACTTAGATAAATAATTTAATTCGAGTTGCGTAAACTCGAATTAATTGATTTATCTACTAATTGGAACTATTTTAGTTGAAGATAGCGTAATTATAACAACAATAATCTCATTTTTCATAAAAGATCTAAATGGTAATTTATTTTAAATGCAACTATATATAAACATAATTATATATTTGTTTTACTGCAGATTATCCACAAGAATATAATGACAACTTTCCTAAACATTATTTACGATCATAGATAAACATTGTCAGAAAGATTACAGTAAAGAAAATTAAAGTTTTTCTGAAATCCAATATTACAAAACGTTACATTGAAAAGGAATTTGAAAGTTCTCGTACTTGTCTGACACAGTTTCAGAATCAACTTTAAAAAGGAAATTTAAATAAATAAAATGCCAATTGCACAAAATAAGGATTCTTTCAGTCAAACCAAAACGAGTCTTGAAAGTGTGTGCCGCCAAAATTTGACGCATTATACAAAACATTTAATAACGAACAACGAACTGAATACAGAATACGACAGAATTGATAACACCTCCTTTTTGTTTGAAGTCGGTTAAGAATACATGCTGAATGCTAATAAAGTAGTTACAATGAGGAAAAAGTGAAAAGCACCGCTTACTTATGTAATGGAAAATAAACAATTTATTAGGTTGTAAAAATGGTTATTGTTTATATTTTTTAGATTTATGGCCACTCAAGAAATTTACTTCAGCATGTTTTATTGGGGTATAACATAGTAGTTACATTATTTTTAACGTGTTTTTGAATTATTTTAATATGACGCGCTAGGTGTGTCATTGGCCTTACTAAATATTTTTACATGACGCCCCTGGTGCGGTGGTGGCCGCGAATCGGTTAAGATACCGATCATTACTAACAATATGACACGCTGTTTATACGGACGAGCTATATATTACCTCGCCAGACAATATATTGGCGCTTAAAAGAGACCGTAATATTAATTATAATTATTGGACACATCAATGTTACCTGATTCGGTATCTTGTTTTGTTACTATACATTACATCAAGAGTTCGCTATAAATAGATAAATTATAATCGCATTGTCTTCTTCAGGTTTAGTACATATTCTGAGTTGTCAATAAAAACCTTCAGTTATTATTGAGTGCATGCATATACCTATAGTTTAGATATAGTCACGCCGTTATCCCCTTCTCTAACAATGAACACAGTACTCTTTCAAAGCTTTTATGTACAATATGATTGACTATTAGTCCACGGCTGACATTTTACAGCTTTTGTAATAAAGAAATATTTCTTTACATGAAACTGCCTATCCTCGGCAATTTTTACTGTTTAGTTAAGGAAGCCGCGACATTGCGCAGCGCCACACAAACAAGGTATCTTCTCGTCTTCCAGCGGGAATTTATAGTCGTATGTGATTTCTTCGTCTACACCTATCGGTTGTTTGGAGTATATCACAATCTTCTTCTGAGACTCGATTGTTATAATCTTCGCGTAGCAATTTGGCTGTAAATAAAGTATTTCATGTTGGATATTACACATTCGTTACTTAGTAGTAGTAGAGTGTAGTCGCGTTTGGCAAATTAGTTGGTTAAACCAACTTTGGTTTCATAAATATGAAAGCAAAGTTAGTTTAAGCAACTATTTTCGCCAATTCAAGTTCTAATTTTATCTAAGTTCAATGTATAATTGTGACGTAGTCTACCGTAAGTAATATCACCGCCTTTAGACAATGTCATGAATCAACGTTTTTGTTTAAGCAGTGCGTGCCAGAGAGCCGTATAATTCTTCAAAGAGTTGAAAAAACATTGAAAACTTTTAGTTTTTTTAATTGAAACCTAATTTGAAAAATATGAAAATCTCTGCAATTTACATAACAAAAATACTATTGTTTGCAAAATGTATCGGATGAATGTGGTATATCTCTTGGTACTCGCTAGGGTAATGTAGTTATCTAGTTATCGGGATTCCGTTATCAATACGTAGGTTTGGAGTATGATGAATGAGGAACACACTCCTACCCGAGTGTGGTTCGTACTCATGCAGACTCCAGGTTCTACAAAAATTAAGAGTAGAACCACCACTAATCTTCGTTAGACTACTGCCCACTAGAACTGCCCACAGTGCGTTCTAGTATATCAACTAATTCGTGACTAATACGCAATCAACAAAAGAGTACTCGGTATATTACATGTCATAATGAAAATATGTATACTCACATTACAACTGTGGTTGATAAACCGCGCCAGGTTTCCGCACTTAGTGGCGTCGATAATAGTATCAAGATCGATTCGGAACAGGTACGAGCTACCGATACCCGTCGCCTCGTAGTGCGCCTCTCTAACGTCCGCCACTATCGGACGGATCATTTGTCCAACATACTCGATCACCATCTCATCCGCTGCTATTGGTTCCTGTAAACGTTATCACAACTTTAGCTTGCAAACTCTGTTACTCGTCATCATGATTAAAAAGGCAACATAAAATTGCACTACTTGTATACTTATCCATCTTTTTTTAAGTTTTATATGGGTAGTTCAAAATTATGAGAAAGATATAACGCTTTTGACTTTTGTCGGTAAAGTTGTTTAAAGTTAATTTTTTTTTTATATGTACCTGTGCGAATAGACCCCAGTCGTGGATACCAGATTTGGCAAACTTGAGCTGTTTCTTCCTGAACTTCAACTGATTAAACTTCAATAAATCTGAATCCGTGTCGGTACCTGTTGATAAAAAACGTAGACGAGTTTCAGCAAGATATACAAGTAACAACATCACTGATTGGTAATTTGGTAATGACAGCCTCGTAAAAAAAAACTAGAAAGTATTTACCAAACGCGGTGAGCAATCTTCTCTGATTAGAGCGAGCCTCTCTCGACAGCAGCTGCATCTTGGACGCCTTCTTGTCGTCGGTGTGCGCGTGCAGGGCGGCGGCCGAGCTGCGGCCGTGGTGGTACTTGTACTTGGCCTTCAGGCGCGCGTCCATCTTGTAGTAGCCTTCCGTGCGAGCCGAACCACTCGAGTGACCCTACAGAGGACAATAGAGGTTAATAGAGAAACTATCATATTAATCTTTTTTTTTTGTTAATACTTATATAAAAGTCATAAAGTATACCTGAAGATCCTCATAAATATTATTATGTCGCTTCGACTTCTTTCTCGGTGGTGAATAGGCCACATCGGTAGGCGGATGGTCTACCCAGTGCGTGTCGTTGAGCCAGTAGCCGTGCGCGTCCTCGGCCAGCAGGGCTTCGTACGCCCTCCGCAGGTACTCGACGTCCTCTCGGTCGATGCCGCGTGTCAAAAACTCATACATGATCTGCATTTCTGCCATAATGTCTCGAGCAACAAAAGTGACTTTATCGTACGCCGAATGCTTATATTCAGACTCACAGGGTGAAAATAATCTGAAAATTAAAACATTTTTCAAATGCACATTTTACGTGTATAGTTTGAATCTCGACTAAATTTGTATGTTTATTATTATAGAGTTTTATGTTTTTGTGGAATTATTTTTAACATATACTCACTTATTCTGTATCTCTGCCAGTTTTTTCACTTCATGTTTCCTCTTGTACGGACGCTTACTGTCCTTCTTGATCGTAGGCTCTTCAGCGGGGGACACCACACTCTCTGGTTCTGCCATCCATGTGTAACCTAAGTAATAGAAATAATACAAAGATAAATAATCACTTTACCACCTAATTGTAGACGTCAAAAATCACTGCATTCACGGCTACTCTGTGCAAAACCATTAATGTAGACAACCATTGACAACGAGACAGGTGAAATATTGCATAGTGGATGTCTACACAGACGTAAAAATAATAACCGATTACCTTACCATGATCATGTTGTAGATGATTAGAGGGTCGCCTGTCTTCTTCGTGTGGCGGTGGGCGACAATAGGAATGGTCCAACGCAACTTGCGACGCTTGTGACGCCTGTGATGCTTGCGATTGTGGTGACGACGTTTCTGATAAAGCGCTGCTTGCCTGTCATCAAAAAACACTTAAATTCAGTTTCTATACTTTTATTTACCTAACCCGGACACCAGACTCCATGGCGAAATCATTGCTATTCATATGGAACTATCTCGATAATATGGAAATTCAATGAAAACAGAATTACAGAAAGTGGCAACATTACCTCTTTAACTCCATTGACACTGACGGCAGTTTCAGTATTGCTATGATCATCACTAAACGACACGATTCTCTGTCGTTTATCAGAGTTTTCCATACTATTTCGTTTAGTCCGTAGTGGCTCCTCGTCGCTAAGCTCGCCATCGAGCAACGCGTCCCGTTTATTTTTGTCAGCCGACGTCGGGTGCTTTTTGTAGTCTTCTTTTCTGTATGGACTGCTACGCAAATCTTCTGTTCGTGTTTCTCGCTCTCTTTCTTGTTTGCTAGGAAATAGCAATAAGTTAATTATTTGATCCTAATTAAAGAATATACAGACATTTTAAAAATATTTATAAATGAATTCTAGTAAAGTCCCTTGTTCTCCATGAAGCCGGCCAGTAGTTGTGACCAACTCTAAATTGCCCTACTTGCAGCTCTTCATCGCTTCGTGTACCTACAACTTTTCGTTGAAGTTCTCCATAACAACGGTGTAGTGAGTTTTAGACATATGTATGTATGATGTATGTCCTCATACATAGTCTCCACCTCATCATCGGGGTGTTTCGTGGTAGGAGCGTATACCTATATAACCTTCAGCGAGTACTTTTTGGTTACTCTGAGTATAAAGTACTCAAAATTTAATAACATACTCTCGATCTTGACCACATTGTTTACGAGGGACTTGTGTACCAAGAACCCGACACCAACTTAGAACAGATGCTCGCCCCCCCTCGCCGCAGTGTGAGCGTGTCGTAGGTTGCCAGGTCCATTCGTCGCCATCCATAAATTACATAACACGAATTTTAGGACTTTTTATCCCCTCCCTCCGTCCTTGTCACATTTTCAGGACCCCCTCCCCTTGATGTGATCTCACACATATTTTAATGTTATGCATGTATTTGAAAATAATTAATAAACATATATCGAGTTCGTTAATTTTTAGATTTTTATTTATTTTTAAATTTCCCGTTTTAATATTTTAAACTTAACATGTGACTTCACAAAGCTTTTGACCCCCTCTGCCCGTTGTCACACAATGTCACATTCCGGTGAAACCTCCCCCCCCCTTTAACTTGTGATGTAATTTATAGATGGCTCTTGTGGTAGCCTGATCGTACCCGCGGATTCTCGGCACCCCCTGCCCCACTGTTTCCTAGAGTACCGTAGCTAGGAACAGCAGGGCCGCCAGGGGCTAGGTTAGGGGTTTTCCCATAATCGCCACGCCTGGCATGCTGGTCGGCAAGGGCAGTAAATTGGTATTGTGCTTAGTAGGATGCTGCTGCCTACCCTCTGGTATCCCAACCCCTAGTCGACTTTTACGACACCCAAGTGCAGAGATGGGGTGGAGCTATTCTTAGCCGGCAACACACGGCAAGCCTTCGACGAAGAAGCAAATAATCAATGATGTTTTTGTGACCAATATGGTAAAAACCGAAAGCGATCACTGACTGGTTAGAGGCACATTGAAACAACACCAAACCTGAAAGTCCACAACTCCACACCACACTCCGACCAAGTCCACACTCCGACCATCACCCGTCCACATCCAAAACAACGAGAGCTTTCAGCTCGAACTTCAAAACCGCTTCGAATATCTCGAGAACTGCGTTAATACCAACGAACTCATTGACTGATTAGTGGAAACTGTCCATACGGTGGAAACGGTCTCAGTTATTCAGGACCTGTTGCACAAATATAACCAAGAGATTCTCTGACGATAGTCTTAAGCTTATGGAGGAAAGGCGCAAAATGATTCAGCAATCTCCAGACGATGCGTCCAAATACCGCAGCTCAATAATCAGATGTTGGGTGAAAAAAGGCACGAAAGTATTCGCAAGGGCTCTGTCTATTGGGCAGAGCTAGTTAACGAAACTGAAAACCGATAATGGCAAACTCATATCGTCGAGACTTGAGCTTCTGAGTTAGGTTGAAAAGTTATACACGGCAACACTGGACCCTGTTACTAACTTGCCAAAAGCTTGTACGAGAATAGTATGGCTCTCAAACAGCTCAAGATCACCAAAGCACCGGGTGAATACGGAATTACAGCTGATCTCCTGAAGCGGGTGGAAAGCCGGTCTTTAAAAGTGCTTCAGAAGATATTCAATTCCGTCATATTCGGCGGGAAGCCGCCTGAGGCATGGTTCAGGGGTATGGTGGTGCTTTTTTTCAAAAAGGGCGATAAAACCCTGTTGAGGAATTATAGATCCATCTCTCTTCTGAGTCATGTCTATAAACTGGTCTTGAGAGTCATTACAATATGTCTCGAGCTCAGATTTGACGACTTCCAGCCTCCAGAACAAGGCGGTTTCCGAAAAGGCTTTAGTACCATAGACCATACTCTGCGGCAGCTTATACAGAAGTCTGAAGAATATAACTTTCCACTAAGCTTAGCGTTTGTGGTCTACAAAAAAGCTTTTGATTCGATCGAAACTTGGGCTGTGCTTTAGTCTCTCCAGCGGTGCCAAATCGGTACATCAAGTGTTGAAGTGTTTTTACGAGAACGCTACTATGTCAGTCCGTCTACAGGATCAGAGCTCGAAACCTATCTGACTACAGGGAGGAGTGAGGCAGGGAGACGTAATATCTCAACTGTTCACCGCTCGATGACCTTAGTAGGGTCTCTAAACGAGTAGGTCTTAAAATGAAAATGGGTAAGACTAAAATGAACATGGGTAAGACGAAAATTATGTCCAACACCAACTCCAGTAAACTAGGACAGACTATCCAGCTAGGTAGGTCCAACGTTGAAAATGAGGTCAATCTTCGAATACAACTTGGCGGGACAGCGTTCGAGAAGCTGCGGGACATTTTCTTGTACCAAATACCGCAGTGTGTCGAGACGAAAGTTTGTGACCAGTGTGCGTTGCCAGTGATGACTTATGGCACAAAGACGTTCGCTCAATCGCACAATGGGCCTTATAAGGAGTCTCAAAGTCACCCAAATAGCAATGGAGAGGGCAATGCTTGAAGTTTCTCTGGGTGATCGAATTAGGAATGAGGAGATCTGCAAATGAATCAAGGTCACTGACATTGTCCGGAGAATTGCCAAACTTAAGTGGCAGTGGGGCGCACAGGGCACATTGCTCTCAGAAGATAGCCAATGGGGCCAAAAAGTTCTGGAGTGGTAACCACATACCGGAAGACGGAGCGTGGGTAGGCCCCCTCACAAGGTAGTCCGACGACCTGGTGACTGGTTCTTTAACATTTTTATTAAATATTTACCTTTCGTCAGGGGGCTTCTCAGGCGGATGTGTATCTATTTCCAGTTTTCGTCTCTGTTCTTCCAGAAACTCTTTCTCGATCTGTTCCATGTACTCTGTATTGCGTCTTCTTCGTTCCTGTAAAATAAGTTATAAATGATATTAGTGCTAACTTTATAACTAATATAAGGCAAATTGCTTTATTTTTATCGTGTGGAAACCGCGTGGTCATCACCTCACCGGAGATCTACAGTATGTCGGAATCGAACCCACTAAAACCACACGGTTTCGTCACAGTCAAATGTTATGGACGAATAGCAAAACCTGAAGGTAGGTCAGTTAAAAAAGGAAGGAAACTATCTAAATTGCCTAAGCTAATGCCTCATTTAAAACTTATATTTGTAAGCTATAGATAATAAGTGGCTATACATCTCCCACAGGTTACACACAATAGGTCTATATCTAAGCATACCTGGTACTCTCTCTCCTCTTCAGAATCAGAATAAACTCTATCGAGTAGTACATCCCGTGTGTCCTCAGCAGGTCGTGCGTCAGTGTTCCTGGCGCTGTTGGGGCGGGCGACAGCTGACAGCGCCTCGTCTACGAGCTCGCCTTCGCCGTCGTTGTCCCACGGATCCATTTGTGGTACAGGAGTTTTTTCTGTAACAGTTTTCAATAAGTAGTTCTTAGCCGTGGCTGAGGTAAAAGAATATAAATCCAATATAATTCAATTATGTACTAGTTAAAAGTACTTCATAATATAATTGGAAATAATAAAAAACTAAAACATACCTCTTCTGCTTTGTTCTTCTTCACTGTCCGATGTTGAAGAGTAGACTCTTCTTAGCCTCTCTTTGTTTGATACCACCTTAAGCTGCAATTGAATTTTAAAATATTGTTTGTAGGCCAAATTTACAGTCACAAATATCGAATAATCAGAAGAATATCAATAAAGAGTTGCAGTTAAGGTAGAAAATAGACTGTACTGTGGTGATGAAATTGTTTTATTTGCTTTTCTTTTGATTTAATCCTAGTCTATTCATCACAAGGAAGATCTATTTGGTAATTCCAGTCAAAACCTAGTCTTTTTATTAAAACTTGTACAGAAATGATACTTAAAAGGATCAATCATATTAAATAAATCTCAAGTAACGTATTATGTCAGTACCTCGGCCTCGTCGAGTTCTGAATCGTCGTCGGTATCTGAATATATTCTAGGCGCTGGCCCTTTCCGTTCCGACCCAGATGACGACGACGATCGTGAAGATGAAGATGACGACGATCTGCAATAGATATTTTTATTTCAAGTGTCAGTATCAAAAGCTAATACACAAACCAATATAACATTTACACTAAATATTATACATATAAATGTAATAATATGAACTTTTAAGCTTTGATTTCTAAGGTTTCTTGTTTTAAAAAATAGCATCGACCGCTAATTGTCTTAACAGGATGAAATGAGTAGAGCTTTATGCCACCCTGTTACGCATAATGCATTCACATATTTATATTTTACCTAGATGAACTACTAGATTGTCGCCTTCTACTTCTCGATAAGTAGGAGCCTGTAGTTCTATTCCTTGGACTAGTGGGCACTTCCTTTTCTTCATCAGAATTCTGTACCATTTCTTCTTGATCACTCAGCCTCTTGCTTGAATCCTCATCCATGAGTACAGGGGAAGGTATCTTTCGCTTACGCCGAAAGCTGGGCATTTTAGGTATAGCGGCGCGAAGCCCCAGGCCTATGCCTGAGCCATATCCGCCCAGTTCTAACCCGATCTCCCGTGACTCCATTATTGTTTTTATCGAATCGACTGCTTCTTCTTTTTTGTTTGAAATGTCCTGCGAAATAATTAGGTATACTGTAAATATCATATGAATTAAATCACAAAATAGCGCACATAAGTGGAGACAGTGATAAATAGCATACAATAAATCAATAAAAAGGCTTTTTTAAAGTGTTGAAACCCCTCGGACCGTCACCCCACCGGGGTTTGCGGCGGGGTGGTGTGTCGGAATCGAACAAGTCGACTTGACATTTTCATTATTTCATTTCATAAATGAAATATAAGTGCTTGTAAACACTGAGACACTTCAGTAGTTAATAATCCCAAATGCCAACAGAACATTAACAGACATTGTTTCACTATTAAATAGTACTTTACCTGTAAAGGCTGACTGGGATCTTCCTTAGGCTTCATTTGACGAGTTTTTCTGCTTTGCTCGTCCCACCAGACCTCAAAGCTCTTGAATGCAGTACTTTCTATCATTTTCTTGTTAAAGTCTTTCTTTAGAATCTGTTTTAATTCAGTCGTTACCCGCTCTATGACGCTGTTTATGGTCGGATAGTAAGGATTATCCAGCTCCTGTCGAAGATTTTGATATTTAACGTTAGACATTTGTTAACATTATAATATTAATATCTAGATTAAAACTAAGCATGTTGGTGATGGGTTTTAGAATACTTGGAAATATATTGTAATTCGGTATGTTTATTATTTTGTAAAAATCTTAATTATTATAAAAGTCTAATGGCTGTTTTGATTCGTCATTTTTTCTGTACTTTTTCTGAAGTTTTCAACTGAAAACTGACTGAGATGCCTGAAGAATTTCAGTCAACCTTTTATTATTTATTGTAATTTATGTGTGGCAATAAATAAATTACATTATTAAATTAAATTTACAATCAAGGTGTAAGAAATATTCCAATCAAAGGAGCTTTGTCATTCGAAAACAACATTCATGAAAATTTTACGTCAGGTATTATGTTTATTTATTAAATTTGGTTATAAAAGAAAAAAGGAAAGGCGATTGAAACATTTCTACCGAAAGTACTTTTTTACGCAATCAGAAAGATCACAAAGTATCGACTGGAGCCAATAAGAGACACTTTCAACCATCCAAATATTTGCAACCTCAAACCCGTAATATTTGTAATGATTAAGTCAGTATCGTCGGAGCGTGGGTAGTGTGGGTAGTGTGGGTAGTGTGGGTATGCACGTGCGGCGCGCGCGGCGGCGCGTAGGGCGGGTAGTGCGGGTAGTGTGGGTAGTGCGGGTAGTGCGGGTAGTGTGGGTAGTGTCGGTACGCACGTGCGGCGCGCGCGGAGGCGCGTAGGGCGGGTAGTGCTGCAGCAGCGGCGGCGCGCCGAACGGGCCGCCCGTGCCGTACGCCAGCGCCAGCTCCGCGCCGCCGTAGCCGGGCGGCGGGTACGCTGCGCACGAACACACACATCACTCTACACGACGATCTAAACTTACGAGAACATATCACACTTCGTTTCTCCTGATTCCGATTTATGTTCTTCTGAACACAGTAACGGTCAAATTTATATAGGAGTACAGTGCTAATTTTACACTTATAGTATATAAACATACAACATCCATACTAATATCATAAATGCGAAAGTGTGTTTGTCTGTTACGTCTTTACGCTTAAAGCGCTGAACCGATTTAGATGAAATTTGGTATAATGATAGGCCGAGTACCGGGAAAGGACATAGGCTAGTTTTTTCCAGAAATCATCCAATAAAAAGGTAAAAGTTAGTACCCATATAAAGTACTCTGTTCCCATAAAATTTAAATTAAAATTTTTATATATAATAATATATTAAATAATATAATTATATATATTTTTTAAAGATTTTATATGCAATGATGAATTAATATTACTTTACAGGTTATTTTTTTCAAACACATCAAGTATTTAAAACTATTTTCTAAAAATTTATAACAATTAAACTATGGTAGTACAAGATTGAATAAGGAAGTCTTAGTATAGTTACCGGTAGGAGGCCACATTGGTTGATGGTAGTAGTGTCCGGGGGGCGCTGTGGTCGCGGAAGGGTACGCCGGGTAGTACGCTTCCGCTGGCACCTGCTCCTCGATCTTGGCTTCTGTCGAAGATAGTGATGACAGGGACATCTGAAAACAATATTAGGCATTTTACAAAGTATCTACATACAACCATGGATAAATGATGTGCCATATCAGCCGTCGTGTACAAAAGCTTTACCATTTTAAATCTCTGGCTAAACGATGTCCTCAAAATGAAGCCAAACGTCACAGTACATTTCCATTACGTTTGGATCTTGCTTTTAAGTAGGTGATTTATAGATTTAATGAACTAATTATTGTTACCGATAGACACGAAGAAGATTTAAATTTGGAATACTACAATATCCATTTTCTGGATAAGATTTTTATAGAACTACACCTTACAACGCACAAGAACGATGCCTGGCTATATACCTGGTCGTCATTCAAGTTGTCTTGTTCACGGTCAGGTTGTGCAGGGGATCTCCTTGGTTCCTCACCGGTCAACAACTCGTCTTCTGAAGATGATATGTCCGACCCGATTTTGTCGATAAGAGGGATCTTCTTGCGTTCATCATCTTTCTTTTTCTGAAAGTTTAAAAGGTGAAGAATAAATTGTGTATTTAATCTTTATATACGCTGAGACACTGTAGAAGTGCCGTATTCTATGTTAAAAATTTAAAGCCAAATATAATATACTTGTTATTCTAAATATTTGTAAAGCACTAGACCACGGGGTATTTAACGCGACCTCAGAAATATTCTTAACATTTCACAATAACATCAAAACACTGATATAGTTTAACAGGTCACGTATCCGTTCAATATTTAACATCATAATAATCATTATAAACTATTCATATAGAGTTAAACAGAATTGTGTATAATAATATAATGGAGGCGATAACACATGGTTGCATTGAAAATCAATTTTTTATGCACAAAGCAAACTTTATTGCAAAACTACTTATTTTAAACCATGTATTTTTTTAATTCGCACTAAACGTTAGATCCTATCAATTAATAAAGCATAGTAAATAAAATTATAACTATTTACGTTTACTACATCTCTGTTAGTACACTTAATTTATTAACATCTGAATGGAGTCATAGGGTTTCACAGTCAACGATAACGCTATAATTGATAATTCAGTCGCTTCAAGGAAGCGTAGTGAACAGTGATCGATAAGTCTGTCACATTTTCTATACTAAAACTACTAAAAGACGGTGTATTTGCTAAAGCGATTATTCGTTTAGATTTAGATAGGTGTAGATTTCCACTGCGGAGGGCAATGTAATATATCAAAACGAGCGGGATTCAATGTGCTATGTGAATTTGTGGTTGTTAGCTACAAGTTTCACAGAAGAATTCCAGTGTAAACTCTCACCCTATCAACAGTTATCTTGAGACAGTCGACGTAGATCTCTCTCGACAGGTACGGTGAAGGCGTAGTTGACAATGGATCGGGATCCACGTCTCCATTTTCATTGCCTATTGATATTATGCTCTCCCTGTCTTCACTGATGGAGTCTAATGACAAAAAGGTAACATCAACAATTTTGAAAAATTGAATAGGTACTTTGTAGTTGTTTACACATCATCCTCCGAGCCTTTTGCTCAAACTAGGTTGGGGTCGGCTTTAAGTCTGCTACGATACGGCTGAACAACGATTTTTTACTCGGACCGACCGCCATCAGACCACCACAACCCAAGTACAAGGCGGTATCGAAGTTCTGTAGATAGGCTGTTGTCGAACTTGTAACGGGTCCAACTACACGTAACGATTGCCACAGATGTTCGTATAGTGTCTTATTAATAGTGGATTATTTTTTCTACGCAATTATAAAAAATCGAAATCCAAGACCATGATATACCGGTATATCACATATGAATATTTACAGACTTCTTTTAAACGAAATTTTTCGGTTCTAGAATGCTGTTCTGCTGTTGATTGAACTATAGCATAATAAGCCATAACACCGTTAAACTGCTAGCAGCATTATAACAGCTTCGTTACGTATCGCTAAAGTATTTTGCTACTGTCCATTACTGTAATCTTTAAGAATAATAGAAAAACGATGGTACAAATATGGTCTTCTTTAAACATGTACTTAGTCTTAAGGAAACAGCACCTGAACTTTAGGTACCTTCGTCATCAGAGGGTGGCTGCGGTGCGTCTAAATCGGGTATATTGGAGGGCAAGCGATCTTCGTCTTCTTCTTCGGACGAAATACCGAGCGACAAGAACGGCGGCGCCAGCCCACCGCCAGTGCTCGCACCTTTTAGCAACATCGCTATTCTGTCAAAACACCAAACACATAAAAATATAAATAGTAAACCTATATAGCATTTTCATACTCCAAAATATTACCACAGCTAAATGAAACTATAATTTCATACTATCACAACACGCCGGTCGAGTCGGTGGGTCGACTAGTATGCCGAGGCACGGCTCTCTTACAGTTAAAACTAGAGAACGGTCGTTAGTCCTGAATGTACGGTGACATGGGTTAATGTTACCTAGTATCTAAGTCAACATTCTTGGGTTCTTCAGCTGGTGGCGGCGGCTTTGGTTCAGGCTCTTTACTTTCTATTGTGTCTTCAGGGGGACGGGGTTCCACTACCTCTGCAACTTTAGTTTCAACAGACACTTCCTGGTGATAGAAACAAAAGAGTTACATTTGTTTGCGACAAATAACAGGATATAACTAATTTTTTAACATGCATAGCATGCTTTCCTAAAATTTCAATGGCTTATAAAAAAAAAATTAAACGTCGAAAAGCAGGCGAAGCTACTAAATTTGTATTTCACTATATAACACACCATTCTTGGCTTCGCATTGTTTCAGTCGCATTCTTTAGTTTGGCAAAGTGTTTCTTTCCTTTTTTCTTACATGTTATTTCTCTATTTTTTTGTTGTGTGTGTGTTGTGGCTAATTAACGTATTTTCTTTTTTTTATATTATGTGGATTAAAAGGAAAGTACTATAAGAGTAACTTATGGACTTCATCTTCGGTGATAATTTTACTATTTTGAATCCTAGTTGCAATATTAGAGAATAGATATAATAACTACAACATATCTCGCGATATTTTATATTGGATGTCTCTTATTAAAGATTTCATTTTGTCTGGATCACACGCTACTCTGACGTCAGATTTTTGTAAAAAAAAGTCGCATTATGAAATTACCAGCCTCCACATACTGCTAGCCAAGATTGCTAGAAGTCCCGACATACGGAGCAGAGTAATTTAATAGTGACTGATTCTAACCCTAAGAGGCCCTCCCCTGTGAGCAGAGAAGAGTCATTAGAACTAAAAAATTGTTTAAAATTTTGTTCTGAGTCTGGGTGTTCTTTCTGTCCGCTTCGTAATTGTAAGTCCCCCGCGACACAAGATTCATTCCTAGTGCGGGAGTGGTCTTTTTTTTAAAGAAAAAATAATGTGTATGAATAAATATGAAAAAACAGAGCAGTATTAAACCGACTTATGGTTGTATCACATGTATAAAATAGGTACCTATAGTTATAATAATAATACAGAAACAGATTTTTGAAAAAATAATTCTCATGCATCTGTATACGTAATGTTGTTGTCACATAAAGTTATTGCAAAAAAATCTCGCAACATGACATACAGCGAACTAATACTTAACCTCTCTGTCGTTTATTGTATACATAATTGAATTAATTAATGTTATGTATACGCATATACGCATATATGTATAATTAAACAAGTTAACTAAATAAGTAAACAGTCACAGGAAAAACAAATCGACAGAAAAATTTAATATTAATTTATGTGTCACGTTCTAGGTCAAACTTATGTTAGTCATTCATGCAAATGGAAAAAAAAATACTACAAAAAAACCCCCAGCATGCATTGCAAAACGATGGAATGTGCACAGGCTATTATTTGAGTATTTATTAAAGAGACTGACTATTAAAAGTGTAACGAAAATTCTGAGCTCCTAAAAAGTGTAAGTATTCTTTGATTCACTATTAAATTGTGGCCTCTAGTAATAGATTAACTTCTGCACAATTACTTATTAGTGATTAACATGACTATGTACGGTTAAGGGTATTGCAAACGGATAAATGAAAGCTGAATGGGTTCTAACCCTTAATTATGTATTATTATTTCCTTACAAATTATTGTGCGTTCACATACCAACTGTACATTGACAAATACGAGTGCACCTATGTATATAAGTTGACTACACATTTGACTATATAATTCAACCACGTCCATGTACAAACATACAATGCTTCTAAGAAACTGCATTAGCATAACTTTGTAATTTATATCAAATGTCTACTGTAATGCCCACTATTATAATCCGATATCTACAACCAACATTTCGTTATGTCAACATGTATTACGATTTATTATGTATGTTACCAGCCAACTCTGATATTAAAAAAATTGAACAGGCACGTAATGTCTACTGAAGACAGGTTAAGGTTATAAAAAGGGCTATAAGTGTTACCTCTCTGTTTATTTACTCCAAAAACAAATAAAATACCTAATCTTTACAAAAATACAGACAACTCTTCTAAACGAAATCTTGTGTAGTGGCTAAATTAGTTAGTTTTTCAGGTTTTTAGTAACTTTTATGAGAATTGAGAGCAGGGATGCCCAAACTATTTTGGGCCCTTTTCTAAAATGAACTGACGACCCCCATAGCCAAATTACTGCAAGTTTATCGACTGTAGTTGAATTTTTTTAAAGTACAATATGATGCTTCCTACTAAAATATTAGTCATTTTTATAACTCGGTACACATAACTCAACTAATACAGTATGTTGAAAGTTCCTAATGAGAACTTGTGTTAATTAATAGGGGTCGATTTTTAGACCTCGTCGACCACCAAAATCAGTTTACGTTTATGTTGACCCCTGGGAAACCGATTTCGACCCCAAGGGGTCGATATCGATCACTTTGGGAATCCCTGCTTTAGAGCTACAAGTACAGTGTATCACCACATTTCATAAATTTAAAGCAAATTTAAGGCATTTAACCAATTATTATTTTAGGCATTGAAGTTTTCCATATGCATAGATAGTTTTGATTGCAAATAAGATATACCACTAATCTTTTGAAGCGCTGATGAGAACGTAATAGTTCTAAATTAAAGTCAAATAAAAACGTGAATCTCATCGAAATGTGCCGGAACCTACAACTATTAATTTAATAGTAAGACACTAAGCAAACTTTATAGGCTTAATTCTGTATTAATTTGGCTGGTAACATATTTACTACACATCTCAAACAACAGCAAAGGCATTGTACATGACGGTAGTAGTGTCGAACCTTCTCTTTTACTCTCTTGTCCTTGTGTTCTGGCGAGTGGTGTTCCTTGTGCCTGGGGGTCGCCGATGGCGCCCACGACGGCGTCGCAGACGAACGACGCTCCAGCTTTACATTAGTTATGAAATGTCTTATTTTCAAAATATATAAAAACATTGCCCAAAAAAATTGAATTTTGAACGAGAGCAAGTGTGTTATTCACATGTACTAGACTAAAAGAGACTACGATAAATGGGAATTGCTCTTAATTCAAGTGGTTTTAAACGTGTTTAATTTCTATGTGTTTCAATACCTTACACCGTCACATTAATACAACCTTTAATTCCTTACTTCTTTAAATTTATTAACTGAAGAACCTTTCGTCAAATATTCAAAAGTTATTATTGGAAAAATGGTGGTGTAATTGAAAATTTTACCTATAAAAACAACATAATTGACATACTTAAATACTGTATTCAGTTAAAAAAATTAACAATTATAATTTGAACCTGTTCCTAACGCTAGCTTTACAAAAAATATAGTAGGTTTGTGAAAAATGTTTATTAGTTAACACCATAGATATACCAACTTACCTGAGAATGGGAGAATTATACAACATGATGAGAGTTTCAATTCAAATGATACTTTTACGACGTAAGGTAATGATAAAAAAGCGGTATACAATGAAATGGTAGATTAAAGTGATAAAGAAAAAAACCGTCGAGCTGTTAGTGTTAAAATATTCACACTGTTACGATGAAGACAATGTGACACACAAGGTCATAAACCTGGTCAAGTTAAACAAAAAATAACTGCATTTGAAACCTAGAGTTTACTTTGTTTATTTGACAATAGCTCGTTAGAAATTATTTTTACAGCACTTGTGGTCAATTTTTGGGTAAAATTTATCTAAACTTAATGAAACAGATATGATTTGATGTGTTATAATTTTAATAATATAGTGTTATTTATAACTACATTTTACTCACATTGGAATGGTCTGGTCTAGTATATTGTAATCATGTCTGATCTATTAATTAATACAGATTACTCTATAATAATAATGTTTCCATTTTATTTTACAATTAAAAAGTGGAACTGCTCCACCAGAATGCTTTAAAGAACTATTTTGCCGTATGTGTATCCTGTTTTTCTGCATGATTTGAGTTCATTGTTATTGTATAGTTTATAAATACGGTGTTTAACTTACATGTGAGTGATGATGGCTCGAGTGTTGCGGATGTCGCCAGTCACCCCACCACATGCTACTGCCACTCGTGCTAGCGCTAGCGCCTGCACTGTAGCTGTAGCTATAACTGCAATAGAATAATTAGGCAATGTTACATGATAGCTTTAAATATGTACTCGTAAGGATGGTCCCTACTGCCAAATCTCAAATGGTGGTTCATTGTTCAATATACTAATCTAGCTGAAGAGTTTGTTTGTTCGTTGGTTGAACGCGCTGATTTCAGGAACTACAGGTTCGAATTGAAAATTTATTTTAGTGTTGGATAGCCATTTATCGAGGAAGGCTATCGCCTATATAACATCACGCTGAGATTAATAGGAGCCGAGCACCAATAAATGTAGCAAAAACGGGACAATTTATTCCTTTTAAGTGACCCAAGTGAAGTTGCGCGGGCCAGAGTCTCTAAAAATTTAATTAAAGGTTAAGTACCTAATACCCTTTTCTGTAGCCCGGACAAAGTGTATACAAGATTTTGTTAAGATTTAATGAGTAGTTAAAATAAGAAAGTGTAAAACCATAAACCTTAATTTCGCATTTACATTAGTAAAGATATTTAGGATTTCATATTTATATCCTTTTACTATTATATTTTCTTTTAACAAACTTAAAATTTCTTGGCATAGACTAACGTGATTATTTATTTTTCTTCTCTTTTTAGTATGACATAGTTTTTTCTGTATCCCCCAAGTATAAATTAACTATAAAAAAGACTTCAACTTACTTTTGCTGATAATAAGCATCGTAGGGCATAGCTGCAGGCGGCGCGTGCGGTGTGTGTGGCGGCGCATGCGGTGTGTGTGGCGTCTGCGGCGCGTGCGTGGCGTGCGGTGTGAGGGGCGGGTGTGCGGCGTGCGGCGTGAGAGGCGGGTGTGCGGCGTGCGGCGTGTACGGCACCTCTGTGTGGCTCGACGTGGCGTAGCTGGTCTCACTGGCTTCCGAAGTCGTTCGAGGATAACGATCGCGGTGCCTATTAATTAGTGATATTTGATATGATTATGGGGTCTTCGAATGCCAAGCTTTACTTAAAACCATAGTACACCACCAGAATAAAACCTGGCAGGGTATTTCTGAACTGCTAAACTCCTATCATCATAGAATAATACTATCATTAGACCAGGGATGGAATAAAACCACAAACACTTGTGATAAATCATGTAATTTATAAATCATATAATCACACCGTACTTATTATTATGAGACTTATTATTATTAAGCTAGCCCTACCGCGCGAAAAAAATTAGGTAAATCTTTGATAAAAATAATTTTGACCTATTTTATTGGCATTTATCTTTGTCTAAGACAATCACAGGTGAAATCGTTGTGGCTGTAACTGATCATTTCATCATATGAATATGATTTTAAAATGGCAATAATTTCCATGTCTACAATAGACACAAAGTACTAATATTTGGTTTATATGTCATTTATATAGTTCGTGTTTCACAATCCATGCACATACCACAGGCGTAGCAGTTATATAAGTATCAAGGTTATATGGCCACTGATATTATATGAGAGTAGACTAAAGAAACACCGTGAACCAAGGCCCCTTGATTACTGATCAATGTTACAATTTAATGTACTTGCAAGTCACTAAATACAAAGTAAAAATATTAAGAAAATACATACTTTCTTCGACATTTCCTCCTGCATCGTTTGCTTGTAAAAAACGATTCAAATTACAAATACTAGCAAAGATAAAATTCGATTACGCAACGTAAAAAAAGTTGGTTACTCCTAAATGTTTGTAAATAGTTGGAGACAATTGGAAATAAAAATAATAATGAGTTACAATATTAATCTTCACATATCTTACACACGGCAGTCCGATCCCAAACTAGGCGGTGCTTATACTAAGGTAACCAGACTGCTGATAAAGATACTTATATCTTTCTAAATACATACATAATTATTGTAGATAAATAAATTACACCCAGACACAGAAAAAATGGCTGTGCTCATCACACAATATTTGTCCTGGGTGGGAATCGAAAGAAAGACCTCTGGCTTAGCAGCCAGGGTCACTTACTGTTAGACTAACAGGTCCATCATTTGTGACGCATTGAGTGAGTTGGCCTTTCTTCTACTGTTATTTCCTGAATGTCAACATGCAACGAGGTTTACGACTTTTAGTATTTAACTATAGAATGAGTCCAATAGAATCATGGCTCGAATAGAGAAATGGTACTACTGGCTTTCCGGTTCTAGTGGCTAAGTTTTTAATTCGAATAAGTGTGAGCGCACTTTAGTGAATAATGGCTCAGTACGAAATTTTATATATCTTTAAACATCTATTAAAAACAATAAGTGAAATTGGTAAGGAGCAGTGGGGTGACGGGTTTAAGCCGTATTGGAAAAAGGACTTACTATCATTAGCAGCAGCTGTTTTATTGTCCCTATGCTGAATAAGTGCTTTGGCTTTAGAGATTTATTCTTCAGAGACTGCCACAACATATGATTACTTATATAATTTTGGAGCATATTGATGAGACACAAGTAATAAAATACAGTTTAAATATTTTTGTGGTCCCCCATTGTATTCGATAAAATGCAAATTAAAATAACATCAAAGAGGAAAGGGTACACAGCCATTGTAAAGGAATGTAACTTCAGTTTAACATGGGCAAACTTGTAAATAAGTTCATAAAAAAAAACTTACTGTTGTGGAAACAAAACCGTTAATATGACACGCTGGATTTCAATAACAAATAATTACTCTAAGCGGTCAAGACTGATGCAATTTATATAATTCAAATTCATTGAAGTAAACATTTAGATAGTAAAATTACAAAAAAGTATTATTTCATACCTCTCTCTGTCTCCTCTATCGCGATCTCTATCCCTGTCTTTGTCCCTTTCTCTTTCACTCCTGTGTCGATGCCGATGACGGTGCTCTCGCTCGTCGTCTGACCACCTCGTGTTGCTGTCAGTTTGATCAACAACGTCTTTGTAGCGTGAATATGGTTCCTGTAAAAAGAATTAAAATACAGAGACTAAGAATTAAAATATAATAATAATATTTCTTAAAGGAATAAAAAAAGGTGCCATACTTTTCTATGAACATTTTATTAGTAAAAGGTGTTAAAGTTACTATTTATGAATGATGAAAACCTAAAAGACCAATTAAAGACCTTCCTTTGAAAAAGTTAACAATGAAAGAATTTGTGGAGCGAAATTGGCATGTCAACTTTGGATTAGTCACTAAGATTTGTATAGACGTAATAATAACTTTACACATCTCACTCACAGCAGTCTATTCCCAAACTAGGCAGAGCCTGTGCTATGGTAACCAGACCGCTGATAAATACTTGAATATTTCTAAATACATGCATATTAAAGATAAATTACACCCAGACACAGAACAGTCCTAGGTGGGAATAATAAAACCCACGACCTCCAACTGCTTAGCAGTCAAGGTCACTAATGAATGAACGAATTTAAATTCACCTTAACTATGGGAAACCAAGGTTGATGGAGGAAGTAAATGTTATCATAATTTTACCCATGGATGCGATTGTCAACTTCGGCAACAGCCTTTAGTAAACCACTGCTGGACATAGGCCTCACATTAGGAAGAAGGTTTTGGCCTACTACTTGGATACTATGTAACAGTTCTTGCTATATTTTGCTATTTGAATAATATTTATGCTACATTCTGCTAAGTAGTATAATAATTATCAATTTTTAGTTAAAAAAAAATAAGAGAAATAGTTTACCTTATCAGAGGTTAGTTTAGTTTCTTCTAATCTTTTACTGAGTGTAGGGTCTATTTTCTGCATCCGAACATCTTCATCTACTAAAGCAGGTTTACTAAGCATTGAAATAGGCTGTGGCTTCTTTTCACATGTTTTCATTTCAAACATCTCTTGGCAGTTCTTACCAAAAGCATCATGGAAGACTTCTAGTACCTTTTCATAAAAAAAAACAATGTATATAAAAGCACTGATATTTTAGGATATACTGTAGTCAAGCATGCTTTTCAATATTTTAAAAATTAACCTTATGCTTATACCCTAGTGCACACATATAAAGAGTATAGTGACTTAATAACTTTTAAAATTTCACATTTCATGATAATAATTCTCATACTAATAATAATATAGATTATAAATAAATCAAAAATTTGTTTAATAAGAAAATACTTTCTAACCCTACCCAGTGGGTTACCCTGCCCAGCTTCCCATGGGTAGTACAGCATAATCGAGTTCCATCATCTGTGTGAGACCCAAATTGGAAAAAGCTTCCAAGCAAAGTGACATTTTCGACAATTTTTGTCAAATATCAACCAATTTACCCAAATTTTTTTCCTATTTCATAAACCTGAGCTTTCCACATTCATCACTGTTTATTAGTGAAAGACTACATTAAAATCCATTAAATAGTTTTTGAATTTATTGAGATCGGACAGACAGACGTGGCTAGGGTCTACGTTATATAATATATAGTGAATAGTTAAATGCAAAACTTAGAAAATTATACATACCTGGCCCATTACTGACTTTCCATTATATTTTTCTATGCATAATTTTGAATGTTTTACATCTTGAAACACTACTCTTGCAAATCCCAAGTGCCTGTTAGTGATTGGATGGTAGAATATTGTCAATTCTTCGCATGGACCAATTTTATTCATCATCTCAGATAAAAACGCCTTATCTATGTTATCATTTAAATTTCTTATAGTGATTTCCAGTTGTGGAGGTATTCCTACATAGTTTCTATCTATTTTAAATCTGAAATAGGAATTTATTTATAACCTTTTAAAATACGCGCCTAGAAATTAAATGTCAAATGAACACATTAAGTTGGCATTACTGTCATTCTATACTACAATAAAAACAAAGATTATAACCACAACTACCATTTTACAATTAATTTCTTTACAGTTATTTTATCAAAGATTGCAATACAGCACCTGGAAACTTCGTAATTACACATTTATTTCTAATTTGTCCACTTAATCTGTCTTTGCAATCATCTTGCCTTATGTAGTAAAAGGCTTACTAATAAAGAAGAAAAACAATAAAAAGCCAATATACGATAAATATCTAATATTTAAAGATACTAGCTGATTCCATAATGGCATATTACGATTTTGAAGCTATTTATTTGCGATTATTATAGAACTTGACGACTGACGAATGCAACACTTGTTTTTACAACATAATGTTTATTTTGGTACCTAGGTACAGGCAGATCAGCTGGTTCTAGTTTATTCCACATCCTCGCGATCTGAGACCGAGGATCCCTGCATTGTACGGGAGGATATGATGTATCACCAGGGACACAACCATCGTATCTGTATAACTTTGTTGCTCCCTTCACCAGGAATGGGTCCATAAGCAATTTGTAGTTTTTAGGCGCTTTGTGAAGCACCGCATTATGACCTGGTGTTTTATGCTCCATTCCCCCATTCATTCTGTAAGAAAAAACATTAATAATGTTTTATAAAACATAACCTCAACTTTACAATAATACAATAAATCTTCATAATGCTGATGACAAGTTTAGGTTTATAGGGCCAAAAAAGTATAGATAAGCAGTTTAAATAAGAAATCACAATTATAACGAACCTGAAATGTTTATAAAACAATATGTTAGGAAAATGTAAAACTCTCCGTTTCTCGACAAATACTAGCTGTATGATGCAATAACATTTTAAGATTTATATAAATCCCAATTCGCTTATTACAATGAACATAACAGCAATGTGATTTTCACTAATTTAACACCACTAAAATGAATTAAAAAATAATTTTCTACAGCAAGCTCTCTCCATGGTGACGACCAGTCAGGAGCTGAAGAAGTGGAAACCGATATACTTACTTTCTATAAAATAATTTATTGAAAATAAACACTCAGTTAATTATATTTACAATAGTAATACTTTTTGACAACATTTTTAAGTATTTTTTATCAAAGAATTTAATTAAATATTCAGTTGACTACTTGCACAATGTTTATAATAAAGTATAGTATTTATTTATGAAGTCGTGGCTCTAATATTAGTTCATAAACATTGTACTTTATGGAACCTATTGGATTCCGTTAGGTTGCCTACTTGGGTAATGTCATTGTCATTTTTCTTTGTGTATTGCCACTTTCGTAATGCAGCTGCTTTGATATTTTTACTGTTGCTTACAAAAGAAACTACCGTTTCTACGTTACATTTACTACAAATAGAATATTTATAGAAACTGTTTTATAAGTTACACATATGGATTCATTTTAAATAAAAAAAAGAAGTTTAGTAAACTACTAATGATTGATTTGACTTTTGTCACCTCGTAGGCTGGTAACACTGGAACGTTTTGCTATCTTTGATATTGAATTGGTCGTTGCATCATCGATTTAGGTAATTTTACACCGAAAAGTATAATTTTTCGCAGTTAAAAGTGATATTTAATTGTATTATTCACTTAAGCATCAATATAGTATAGTGTTAAATAGTGGATTTTATTTCAGGCAAAATGTCCGATAAGAAAATCGTTCCCGTAGTAAGGGCTGAAGAGCAGGAGGCTCCAGAAGAGGAAGACCTTGTGGACCCTCAGAGGGAGCTTAGGGTATGTTTGTTTTATAATTTGCATTTATATTAACATATATCTCATAATGTATAAAACCAAAATAATTTTCAGGTCAAATCTAACCCTCATCCTAACCTCCTTCCAGACCTAACAGTTTCCAGGTACAATAACGTGTAAGATTTTAAAGAATGAACAGAAGTGAACTTCGGTTAGTCATGCATTTCTTTATAAATAACAATCTAATGTAAGGTGTTGATAAAAATAATTATTTTATACGACATATTAATAGCTACAACAATTAAAAATATTACTAAAAATATTATTTTCCCTCATTCGAGTTGATTTCTGATGTTAAATGTATCATAATCTACCAACATGTTGTACCTCCAACCTAATATTCCTTCAACTGATTCAATAGCTATGAAAGGTTTAAGATATAATAAAATGTTTTTAAAAGGTGCTACGCTAGTTTTTAGTTAAGATTTTTTTATTTAACAAATCAACTACCTACTTTAACTTTTATGATTAAAACTGGCAATAATCAAGATGACTACCTGAATTTTCTCATAGAATAGGAAGAAGTGAAAAGGTGAAGAAAATGGTGTATTGGTATTGGGCTTCGGTTTCCACATTTAGACTCAAGGGTGGTCCTTTATGCGTTGAGGACTGGTTAGCTAGGTGAGCCAACCAAGCTCCTTCCAGAAAGGCAGAAGCCTCCTGAGGCATTCACAGGCTTCTAGGAGTGATTTTGTATCGGGAATGATACTTGCCCATTGTGTGGCCACTCCCTCGCATTTCAGGACTATGTGGGCATCTGTTTCTTCTGCTTCCAGACATCCCCTGCACAAAAGGCTGTCCGTCACAGTGATGATGAATGAAAATGGTGTACTATTATATATCTCATGTCAGCTTGTCACCAGAAATTATGGTTTTTAGGCTAAATGGCCTTCTGTAAATCAACTAATAGGGTCTTATGTTGTCTTGGCCTATTCATTTTTACTTTGAAATAGCTGTTGTAGCTAAGTGTGTAAAATAAGGGATTGTTTTAAAAAAAAGATGTAACCGATACTTTAGTACATACCTAACTTTTTGAATTGACTGGTGTACCTGCAATATAATTATGGAATGTATTACTTGGAAGAAGGATAACATAACATTTGGCTTCCTATTATTATTATTTAAGCTGCCCACTACAATATGCTTCTCCCCTGATATTAGTTCAGTAATATCTTCCCTTGTTCCTTTATGTGGTTAGCAACAATCTTGGAATGGCATGAGTGTCTAACTCACATGCAATTAGATGCTAATCTGTTAGGGTGTGGCAGCCCAATGTGCAAAGGGCCAGACAAAAACAACAAAATGAAACCCTGATGTAATTGAAGCATACCTAAAGTGCACAGGAAGTCCATATGCAATAAGAGTTAATATTAGAGATCATATTAATTTAAGCATTACATTGGCATAAACTTTTTTTTGTTATTCATTTAGTTGTATTTTTTTTTTTTCACAGAAAGTAGTTAGAACTTATATACTACATGCAGAGTATATTTTATAAAATTAAATAGAAAAAGTAGAAGTAATATAGAAGTAATTAAATTAAAATCATTACAGGATATTTGTCATCAAAAGCCAGATGCCCAGAACCTGTGGGGAAAGTACCAGGAGTGTAATGACCGGGTCAACTCTCGTTCCCAAACTGCAGAGACCTGTGAAGAAGAACTCATAGACTACCTGCATGTCCTTGACAAATGTGTTGGCAAGGACCTTTTTAAACGGCTAAAGTAATTTAAGGAAAGGTTTCTACCCTGGACTGCCATCTTTCTTGCACATATTCTTATGTTACATAATAGTGTTTCCAATCTGTTGGTACCAAGGGTAGAGAGTAGATTTTAGTCCAATTTATTTATGTACCAAGTGTGATGATCGACAGCGTTGAAGTTATTGTTTATTTGTAAATAAATAATCACAGTTATGAAAGGTTTGACTTTCTTTTCTTATCACTTACTTTTTTTTACAGAGATTAAAAAGCAGCATTCGAATTCACAGTTTATTAAAGCAAGTATAAAATTTTAAAGAGAATGTAAAAATAGCTTTAAAAATTACATTTAATTCAGGAATGACAAGTAACATGGCACATATAAAAATAAAACTGATTGAATAACAGATACAGAATGTATTTCCATTAACTTTTGCATATTACCGGAATGTCAATACAAATGCCTAATATTATCAGCATAACATATATACTTTAACAAAATGTAAACATTGTTAAATAGTGTGTTGTCTTAACCTATGCTTTAAAAGAATACATTTCTACTACTAAGTTACTGAAAATTGACTTCAAAGCTAGAATGTAGTTAATATGGAATTTATATCTGGATCACATAATATGAAACTATTGGCAAATAGTTAATTTTTAAAGCTTTTGTGCCCAAACTCTATATAAATAATTTTTATATATCTGAACATCATGAAAATAATAAAATTTTAATAATATTTAACAACGTAAACCATTCTTAACATTTTAAAGCTAAACACAAAAAAAAAATATAAACACGCATTTCAGGAAAATTTTGTAGAACTAAATATGACCTTTAAAAGTCGAGGCACTGTTTTTAAGCAAATTCTTTAATAACAATATCTAATGGACGCGCTTTAGATTTTAAAAGATTACACTAGGCAGTACATATTTCGCATTTAGTCGTTAATGTGACCTGAGAAACTAAACTACTTTGTATCGTATCAACACTGCAGAACAATTTAAAAATGTACCTACTATTTCACAAATATTTTAAGGCTATGCAACTGTCGAGTTAAATAATGTTAACCTGAGAAAATTTTCCAGGGCCTTAATATATTTGACGCATTTACAAAAAATCTGAATATGTTTATGAAAGTTAGTAATCTAGCCTCATTTCAAAACACTTAGGTTTTATAATTACTTGGGCAGTACATCTTATTTATGCAGTACATAATTAATATTTACATTTCGCACTTAGTCTCTAAGGACTAATTGAAATTTTAGAAATATATCACTTATTTATAAGTGTTCTTGTTTACGTTTTGATTAAACTCAAATGAGTGTTTTACTCAGTACAAAAAGTTATGATAGTTGTGTTTGACTAACTCGCGCCAACCTGTAAAACATTGAAACATATTTCACAAACTCGTTGTGGCTTATTGAGGCCGAACTTCAGTATGGGAACATCTTGACTCGAGCATTTATTACACAGCATGCGCCCGCAATGTCGACTGAAACAAAAAAAAACCCTTAGAAAGCATACGAACAAATATTGTACGTCGCGGTCAATGATACCAGATAAATGTGAATATGCTCACAACGCCACCGCCTCGGTTAAACCCGTTTCTTTAGAATCGTGATCCGAAACTCTACGAAACAAAAATGCGTCACTATATAGAAACAAATACATAAATGTATAGGATTAAGTCGGCGAGAGAATGAGATAGAATACATTACACATTATTTTTTTAATAATTTGACTGTGTGAATATTTTTATCTTTTTATTTAACACTAGTTGGTACCCACGACTTCGTTCGCGTGGAATTTGAAAAAACGCTGCCTTACTGGGTTCGATTCGAAAAAAAATCGGAAGTTTCACTTCTGTCGTGTGTGAATTGAACACACACTTTTTTTTTATAAAACTGAACTAAGTAAGAACAAGTAACTTTTATGTTTATATAACATTTTAAGCGGTAAGCTACAATCAGGAGTGATTAATTCGGATTAGATAAAAATACGAAATGGGGCAGTTATCCCAACCAGGATGGGATATCGGTAACAGAACATTATAATTAAGCAGTGCTTTTTTCTCTCCATTCACTGTCAGAGATTAGCACTAGCAATTATGAAACATATTTCACAATTTACTTTATAACTCATACTGGCTTATTAGCGTTCATTGATTTTCATATTTATTTTCTATAAAATACCTTTATTTAATTAATAATAAAAATAATCAGTGAATCAAATTATCTACCACTTAATCTGTATGTCTAAAATTATGAATACTATACGGAAATAATTAACACGTTGTCCGCCAAGGACATTCGTATTAAAGCCTCATTTAATAATTCGGTCGAGACGCCAATGACGTCTTAAAGCGTCCACCGCACTTCATTTTTTACAGACAAATAAAACTTGGCTAATGTTGATTTTCAGAATGAGGAACATTTATAAGAGTTCATCCTGATTTCAACTACTATAATCATGCATTTAAGCACTGAGATATAGTCTAATTTAGCACGTAATATGAAAAATTAATTGATCAAAAAATGTACTTTTAAAGTACTACTCGAACAAGCGAACTAGACGACTGTCAAACGTGACGTCATTGACTTCGGGTACGGATAGCAGAAGAATCCGAATGATCGATAGGTGTTATTTTTTCCTATATGAAATTACCCAAGCAAGTATTAAGCGCGCGTATTAAGTATTACGCTTTGTTTGTTATTAGTTCAACTAATGTTCCAAGTGAGCGCTAATCTTTATAAGCATTTTGTATAAAGAATTAGAATGAGAAGAATTAGAATTAGAATAGAGAAAATATTTTTATAAAAATTAGTTTTTTTGCGTTATCTACAGATATTTAATTATTACGGGTCTGGGTGTTTCTATGTATTATAATAAAGTATATATGTATAAGTCAAAAGTTTATAAGAATGTTAATCCGTTGTCTAGTAACCATAGTACAAGGTCAGCTTAGTTTGGGATTAGATGAACCAGTGTCAATCATCAGTATCAGAGCGTAGTTTTGTATACAAAAATGTGAATGATATATAAATACGTCATTGGACAGGGTGAGGACTGCTGAAATTCAGGACCCTTAATATTTATTCTCACCGTCCGCTATGTATTGTTTTATTTTTTCCCATTTGCCACACAACGAAATACTAACAGTTTTAATAAGTAACAAAAATTTAACGAATTAAAACACACTAAACATGTTGTTAACATATGAATGAAAGCTAAGAGAAAAAAAAAACAAACAGATGCTAACCTTGCGGACGGTACTAAGACAATAGCGGTACCTGCAGCGAGGTGCGGCGGGGAGGCCGTATTCCACGCATTGGTCTAAAACGCTTGGTCGAGTAGTACCATTGGGTAATAAATAAATCAATCAACTAATGAAAAATAGTTAATAATGTAGGTAGGTAGCTTAAAAAATGATGAATTGCCCAGCATCTAACCCCTTGTTGCACACAAATAATTCTACAGCAGCAACAACTCTTTCCTCCGGGCCTTTTTTTCCAAACTTGTTTGGGGTCGGCGGCCTTGAGTCTACTACGATACGACTGAACTTCGATTTTTTACATGGAGCATTAGACCTCCTCATCCCCAGACGATATCAAAGTTCTGTAAAAAGGCTTAACGTGCGCTCCGAGGCACGGAGGGTCTCAAAGTGTTACGACATGGCCACCCATCCATAGACTGACCTGGCTGGGATTGCTTAACTTCGTATAATAAAATCCTGTCTCTTTCAAATTTTTATCACAAAATTGCCCCTCTCCTAAGCCATTAACGCCTTAAAGCGTCGACTAGTTACGAGAAAATATGGTAATGAGTTAATTGTTTATTGTTACAAAATAAACATTTATAGAGGCGTAAGTATAAAATTAATAATGAGGATGTAGTCACAAACGAGATAATTAAAAAAAGAAATTATAAAATCTGCTCTTATCTGAAGGTGTTACTTCGGTCATCGGTATAATGATTACTTAGCTGAGAAGTGATATTCATAAAACTTCAATGGTATTAGCATTTTTTATTCGTAAACTATGCATAAGTAAAATGTATCAATGATTTATCGATATACTTTAGGATAAGGAATTTGTTGCTTGGCGTAGAGAGCACAGTTTGTCGTTATTAACGTGGCGGTCAAAGGGTTAAACGGGTTATTATAGTTTAATTATTACATTAGTATTATTATTAAAACAAGTGTTTCGGTTTCGATAGCGAAACAAGCACGTCTATAAGGCATTTTTTTACAAAAAAAATGCCTTATAAATATAAAATTATTTCTTACCAGTGATGTTTCCTCATGGTGAGTGTGAACTTAGTACCGCATTCCTGGCAGAGGTCGCTTTCTGCCCACGGAGCTTCTGCTGGCAGCACGTCTAATAGCCTATGCAGTAACTGCTTCGTGGCTACCTACAATTGAAATATTTACATACTTTAATAACAGGAAACAATATTAGGTGTGGTAATATTGCGCGTCAAATAACAATGACTCGAGATTTCTGAAACATTGGCATCTGATACCATAGGCAGGATTTGTACCATGGGATCCAGACAGCTGAATCATCAGTCTTGTTAACACAACAGAAACTCTACAGTTAAAGTAATTTTATAATATCTTCACCAAGAAGCCCGCCTAAAAATAATAATATTCGAACGATTGCTGTACTAGTAAAATAGTTTCCCATTTGTCATGTCTTGATTATCGTCATCCATAGGTCAAAGATAAGAATGGGTGTTCCTAGTGTGTGAATGAAATCCTAAACATTTATACATGTAAAATATTCACCATAAAACACTTCTGTCGCAATTTTAAATGTTTTATGTATGAACTCGCAACTCTTTAGTGCCTCTGATACTGTTAAGATGTATTGCAGTCTGATTTTGAGAAAACTATTAACTAAAAAATCTTCAGATAGCTTTATGCCAATAAGAGATACATAAAAATGCACTTCACCTGATAATTAAATATAGATATCCCGTCCTTATTCTCTTGAGCCAGACACGCTCCGGCGCGAACTAGTACGCGACACATTGCTCCTTGGCCATTCATGTAAGCCAATAGTAATGGTGTATTACCCTACATAAAAAAGAAAATATTAAATATATTATAGTTAAAGAACTTATTCTTAGTATCATGAGTCACATATCATCGTTGATAGAAGAAAGATGAATAACTTTTCTACAGAAACTTACTTGAAGGTCAGTCCTATTAATTGGATAGTCTGGCATAAACTCGAGGAATATTTCACATATCGTCGCCGCGTTATCTTTCTTGCACCAACACAGCTCGTGTAAGGGATTTCTACCTGATGGATGAATAATTTAAAATTTTTACTTAACACTCACTCAATATTAGACTGCTAACTAATTTCTGTAGCGTGTAAAAAGTAAAGCGAGCTAAGTGTGTTTTCAGCACTGGAGTATTGTGTGACATTGCGTATACTGTTGTGTTTCGTCAAGTATTTTATCAGTCAATTTAGCTTTCATAGTTTGAAAGTTCGTAAATTTATCCTACACTCTCTGTGCCACCTTGCAGTGAGACAGGGAACCTATATTTTAGACGTGAGTAGACGTTTCGTGTGTGTGGGGTGCGCTATGGCATCATGCGGCAATGAAAAGTGTCGTTCTATGCCCTGAGCGGTTGAAGTAGAGGTAGGTCGGTCGAGCGGCTGGTGAACCTTTGAGGTTGGTGGCGGCGGCGTCGATGTCGGTGTCGGCCAGCAGCGCGCGCGCGGCGAGTGCGTGGCCCTCGCGCGCCGCCACGTGCAGCGCGTTGTCGCCGACCGCGTCCACGGCGCCGTACTCCGCGCCGCCCGACACCAGCGCCGACACGATGGCCTCGTGACCCGCGCCCGCCGCCACGTGCAGGGCCGTGCGTCTGTTCGGAAATAATCCAAATTTACTGTCCAATGTTTTTCTAAGGAGTCTGAGGGATCTGGAGCCTAGCCATATAGTTATCTAACTCTCTCAGTAACTCAGTAATAGACCTGTTGTTGCAGACATATCTAATCTTAATAATCTGCATTACCCAAATACCCAACTATTTATTATTATTAGAGACGAATCCACCAATAAAGTCACACTTCAAAGGTGGGGAGGGAGTCCACATTGTGTGACAGGGGTAGGAGGGAGCCTACGTTTCGTGACGACTAAACTCACTTGTGCGCATCCCTGTCGTTGGGCCTGGCGCCGGCCAACAACAAACTCCTCAATAAAACTTCATGTCCGGCGGCGGCGGCGAGGTGCAGCGGAGGAGCAAGCGACGCGTCTTGCACTCGAGAGTTCACATCTACTTCTACTGACAACAGGAACATGACGCTTTCAACGTCACACGTTTGGATGGCCACATGAAGAAAGTTACGACCTTTTTTGTCTACCTGCGTATACGAATAGTTTTTTTTGTTATCTGATTGTTTTAAGAACGAGGTTCCTTATCGCGCGTTAAACGCTCTGAGCGGATGGACCGCGACTGAAAAATATGTAAGAAGCCTTTTTTTCGACATTTACTGCAATTTTATTATACATTTTTCAATTTAACTATATTAACTGGATATTTTATAATTTAAATATAAAGACTGTTTTAGCAAATGTCCACCAAAAAACGAAAGGAACTTTGTTTTGACGCCGTTTCTCATTTATATTACAATAAAATCTCTTAATGTAATACAATTACTACTATTTCCTATTTTAAAATTTTAGTGTAGGTAGATAAAGCTAAGCGCTCAGTGATAGATGCTGTTTACTCTGAAGAAAATTCTTACTTATTATACGCAAGAAAACAGGCGAAGTAACTGAATGGTACGGAAACAATAACATACCTGTTCAGCAGCTGATGGATTTTTCTCCAATATAGCTTGAGCTGCTTTATTGTTCCGTGCAGTGAGGGCAGCTGCAAACGGCGACACGCCCTTATTGTCTCGTGCGGACAGTTCGATGCCCGGCTGCGACAGTAGTAGTGTAATAATCCCCGCGTGTTGGTTTTCTATCGCAATGTGCAAAGGAGTCTTTCCTTCAGAGTCCTTAGAGTTTATATTCGCACCGTGTTCTAACAACGTCTGTCAAGAAAGAAAATTAAGGCTGTTTATGTAGGTATTTACATACAGAGGATATTTTTTTCTCTTCTACAATTTTATTTATTCTTTTTATGTAGTAAATTCTATTAAATCCCTTGAATTGTTTTTGGTTATCTAGTTTATGGTATTCATCGTCATCATCAACAGACTATAATAGTCCTCTGCCAAACTATAGGTTTTATTTCAAGTTTGAGACGTCGGCTCATGTTGAGCAGTATTCCTCAGGGCTCTGGTCTTGGGCCTCTCCTGCGGAATAGAGGTTACGATTGGGCACTTCGAGGAGTTTTCTCCCCTGCCCGGGCGTAATCTGTTACCCAACGACACTTTTGTTACAGCCCGTGGGGTGAAATTTCAAGAGGAAGCGCACCAGAGGTGTCTCTTTGGAGGCACTTGGAACTCTTTTGTGATAAGAATTGTGGCTGTATTGATTTAAAAAATATATATTCACACTTCGATCTTAATAAATAGATACTATTTTACAGGCAGAAAGCGTTGGTGCGCGGGGCCCATAGAACTTGCTACTCTTGCTACGTGGCTAATCCGCCACTAACATGCCTATATTATGTAAAATAATGCGTATATATGGTGGCAACACAGCCAGTTGACAATCTTCCATTGTTGATCCCAAGACGATCTTACCTACTACTACTTGTCTAGTCTAGGATTACTGTGCTGGATTATAGTTTTGGTAACCTAAGGTAAAGGCAATTTCCGTATTGGAAATGTTAAAATTGTTGTTTTAAATTATTAACATACAAGTAAGGATCATTACCTGTATGACGTCAGTAAGGCCCCAAGTACAGCAAAGATGTAGTGGTGTATGTTTTTCTGAAGCGACTTCGTGGCCTTCTCCATGAGGACCTAGACGTCGCGGTGACTCTACGTCACACCCCGACCGAATCAAAAACATTGCTAGTGATTCTTTATTCTCATCTATTGCCCTGAACAAAATGAATAACAATAAAATTTTAATTAGTCTGGAACTTTCAGCTTTTTCTTTTTTTTTTCTATCAAGAACCAGTTCTTGTTATTTGATACACCAACGTACACTAAAAAAAAAAGAGGTTCCACTATTTGCTTGTTTAATTTGAATTTGTCACTTACGTACGTTAACGTTCTCATTAAATAAAATAACAGTACTAATACCAATTTTTGACTCACTTGTGTAATAATGTTTGTAAGCTTCCATCAGGCCCTGGGCCCCAACAATCAGCATCAGCTCCGTTCCTCACCAGGATCTGGATGATATTTTCACTGTTAAAACTCGTTTAACGCACTACAAGTTCTAATTTCGTACGCTAAATGATATAATGATCACACGGTTGATATGATATTGTTGGATGTTAACAAAAAAAATTTAAATCTACTAATCACCTAGTACAGAAAGAAAAAGTAAAGAAAAGAGGAAGACCGAAGAAAAGGTAGATGAACAGTGAGATGACGAATGATAGAGTAAAATGGAAGAATCATACTGCGCCGACCCCAAATAAAATTCGGATCAGGGTAGGCAGATGATGAATTATTTGGTACATTGGTAATTTGGGCAACTTAAAACACACAGCAGACAGCTTAAAATCAAGGTGTCAGTGAAATAGAGATTTGTCAACCTCAATTGTGACTTTGGCCATCGAAGCGAGAATATAATCATGACTGATAACTAATATATTAAGAGACATAATAACAGGCTATGTTACCATGTTTCGTAATCTTTCTAATGACATAACACTATTCAAGCGTCAACAATAATATAATAGCCAAGATAGAATTACATTATTAGATAACATACACTGGCGACCTCCTCCTGACCAGAATCAAGCGCTGCCCAAAGGGGTGGTACTCCATTTGCATCGAGTCTACTCATGTCTACACCACGCACACAAAGAGCTTCCACCACTAAACCAAGGCGACAGTGAATGGCGAGCTGTAGAGGAGTCTCGCCTGCTTCCGTTCTGTACAAAAAAAAGGCACCTAAATAATATGTAACAATTAATCAATGATGTTCATTCCGCGTTAATTTTTATAAGCTATTATTGCACCCCTACCAAATAAGAACTAGTGCTGCCTTTGTGGTGGGATTGTAGCAATAAAAATCGTTAGTGAGTGAGCCGTAGGTATGTAGGAAATTCAAAAAAATCTACGACTTTATATAACTGTTTCAAGGAATTACTTACAAAGCATTCATATCAGCTCCATGGTCAAGTAAGAATATAGCAGTTCTGGAGTCCTCTTCTACAATGGATTGATGAAGTAAAGTGAAGCCTTTTCCATTGCGGATGTTTGGGTCAGCGCCACCCTCGATTAGGGGATTTACAAGGTTTTTGTGACCTGTGAGATTAATTTTGTTTAATTGACTATAATTTAATTGGGCACTGAATTAACTATTGTCAATAGAAGACAAAATGAAATAAAAGAGTTGTTTTACGTTGATTTGCTGTAGCGAACTAAAATATAAGTCATTTGCTTGCCAAGAATAAATAAATAGTCATAAGTACCTTTCAATTAGATAAAAGTATTGCTCATGAGAGATGGATTTTTTAAAGCAAGCCTAGCCGATGGCAAAACTGCGTGAGTATTCACTAACGTACGTAGTGTTTGTTTGTTATGTATTATAAAAGGTAACTAAACTAATGATTGTTTTCAACGTGATCGCTGCTTATTTTACTTGTTTTGCGTATACACACCTTATATTAGTCTTGCTGAGATTTAATATGGCCATTTGCATTTTGCCCACGGCCATTATGGCATTTATAGGTTACGATTTGTAATTTTTTTTGGTTGTCTTTACTTTATGATCACATGAGATAGCTTTATTACTGTTTTCCGTATTAGTACTGTGCTGTATCCGTGTCCGTATCTGTTACTTTTTTTATATACCATTAGAATATGAAATACGTTAAAATGCGCATTAATTAAATAATGTGCAAATTACCGGGTATGATCAGTTCAGTCATATAGTTCATAGAAGTGTGAAATTTTACTTAAAGTAACAGATATCTACACTTTAGTAGTAGTCGTTAGTCTGCAGATTACCTAAAAACTCTACAAAATTATTTAGTTAATGTAAGAGCTGAAATAATTGTTTCCACTTCAACGGACTCCACCAGATAAACTTTTTTATTGATATTGTTACGTGTTGTGCATGTATGTGCGCTATTTTTCTTCGTACGGACCGACCGTCTGGATGGTTCAATAAATATGTAAATGATAAAGGTCACAGAGGTTAGCGATTTAGGGGTTTGTATTAATACTGAGCCAAGATTTCGTGATCACATAGGTAAATATTGTTAAAAAGCTTATAGGAATTTAAGTTTTGTTTTACGAACAGTAAAGGACTTCAGAAACCTAAATACAATTATAGCACTGTATAACGCGTTGGTAAGAAGTCAGCTAGAAAGTAAGGCAGTCATCTGAGCAGCCCCACATGAAGCTAAATATAGCCTCATGTTAGAGTGCAAAATATTTTTTTATTCTTGGTACCCATTGTATTCTGGGTATGGTGGGATACAACGAACTGAGGGTCAGAAGGGAACGCACACTCCTCTAGTACCTGTTCAGGGTACTTAGGGGTAGGATACATAATGCAGACATGTTAGGACGAGTCAGCATATGTGTTCCGGACAGATAGGTGTGGCGCGCCCGTGCGGGCCTGCTGAACGAAGCGCCGATGACGCGCGCACTACCCACTAAATATAATAGCGGATGAGATAGATTTATTCTATTGCTCACTGAGTAGATTCACGATAAAAATATAAAGAATTATTTCTTATAATAAATAAGTAGATAGTAGAACAATATCGCATTGGGCTAAACCTGTAATGATAGTTGTTTTTAATGAAAATAAATATATAAATTTACGATATTATTTATTATTAGACTATTAAAACAAAATAATTGAACTGATGCCATAAACTTATCACGATGCAGAAATCACAAGTACAGTGTCCTTTACACTTTTTATAAACGTAATCAGATATCGAATCAATAAAAAAAGCCTTACAGTGTAAAAACAGTTTACAGTAATCAAATATCTAGTGTTAATTAATACCTTCAGTGAGTGCAAGACTGACAGGAGTATCACCCTCGGAGTTCTTCAAGTTAAGATTAGGCGTAAGGTTAACGTTGCTGCGGTCAGTAGCGGGCATGTCGCCCTGATCGACGAGCTTCTTTTGTTCGATGATGGCTAGCATTGCACTTTCATGATTGTTTAGTACAGCCAAGTGAAGAGGTGTTTGCCTGTCAAATTCATTTTAATTAAGTAATGTCATAATTTTTTCGAAGTGTCAATACTTCCCATTAAAATTAAGTTTAAATATAACACCGACTAAAAAAATTATACTCTGTTCTTCTTATATATTATTATATAGAATTTCATTTTAATTGCCTGCCTGTTTTGATCCTTTTAAGTGTACTTTTGCAAGTTCCTATACTTGCTAGGATTTGATTCTCTTTTATTTAAAGACAGATAAGCAAATGAGCAGACGGGTTATATATATAATGGTAAATGACTACCGCTGCCCATCGACACCTGCAATTAAATTCACAAAAACTTGCCGGCGTTTGAGCACCCCTCAGAATTTTCTTTTTCTCCGGTAACCTAACTCGCTGAAATACAACGAAAGAATTGTTTGAGACGGGTTATCTGTGAGGCCCGTAATATTACCCTGGTTGAATCGTGTCAGAAGGGCCGAAGCATGGCTCTTCCACCGTTCAGGCCCCGACATTATTCACACATTTAAATAAACTTCTTCGTATTGTATGCATATCCACACCTACGTCACCTAACTATCGGATGAACTGTATATTTATATGCTAAATAGTGCCATGTAATGTGCATTCGGACATATAAAGTATGGGACTAATCCCTCCCACACGCCCACCACTGTAACTCCTGTACACCAGGATGAACAGCAGTGACCCACGAACACACCGAGTTATGACACTCGCGAAGTCCCAGGGAAAAAATTTAACTGTATTGGAACCCGCAACAAAATTAATCAGCAAAAAAATTGGAGGAGTTGGAAATACATTAAATCCACTTCCCTCCTTAGCAAAGCGGGAGACAAAATGAAGTAAAAGAGGCATACAGCCTTTTAAATAGGGAGTCAGGGAGGGAGTTCTGTTTATCAATTTTTATAAGTGAAATGATTGGGTAAAGAGTTTCGCAGAAAGAGGTAAGATTCTTACCTATAGACAGTATCCTCCTGTTCCCCATACGCGGTTTGTATATTCGGTCGAGCGCCATGTTCAAGCAAGGCAGCAGTTAGACGCGCTAATCCATTGGCACATGCCGCGTGAAGAGCCGTCATACCTGCTTCGTTTGTGTGGTTTAACTCACTGTTTAGGTGAGACACTAAGAATACGGCTGATTCCTTTAAAATAATAAGTAAGAGTATGAATATGTGTTACAGTTATTTTGAGTCGTGTGTTTCTGGAAATGTATCCTTTTCGTTGGAAAACGAATACTTCTAATGTTGTCATCGTTTATTAGAGTCAGTTTTTAATTTATCAATAAGGTGTGCTACGTAATCACTTTAAATTTAAATAAAATAAAAATACTTTCACTTGAGATATATCAACTGCACACATATAATTTTTAAATTCCTAGAGTTAAAAGATGTTGTACGTTACAGTTATACAATCAATATTAATAGTTATGAGCTCATAAAGGGGTTTCGCGACTTACCTCAAACCAACCCTGTGCCAAAATATGGAGTAAACTATCTCCAGAACCTGTATATAATGGATTTGGATGGCAGCCTTTCTCTAGAAGCTTAGCAGCGAAACCTCTTTCCACAACACCTTCCGTTTTCCCCTCCACTGGGTCTTCTGTGAAGGCATTCTTATTTGTGACAGGAGTATCGAATGGATTAGAGCCGTTCATAACTAAAGTTTCACTAGAAGATATCGAGGCTCGCCTATCATCGACAAGGGCGTAGTAGAGCGGTGGATGTTCGTCTGTCAGGGTACGAAGATTCGTGTCTAAGGTAGGCTGTTTGAGGAGCATATCAAATATCCTTTGGTTCCTCGCTATTACTGCTTGATGGAGTGGTGTGCTGGCAAACAAATGAGGTGATCAATATCCAAAAAATAATATAATAGCATTTTCTTTATACAATGGAAAAATTTAAAATATAATAATTAAAGACGCTTTAAAAAAAATGAGAAATGTGCATCATATCGTAATGTAAATATAGATATATACATTACGCATGTACATTATTAAAAACTTACAATCCTTTCCTGTTCTGTCTATTGATGTCCGCGCCCTTTTGTACCATAATTTCAGCAATCTCAGCCATTTGATCCATAGTTTCTTCGTCACATGAACTTGACGTTAAAGATGCAATTAAATGTAGAGCCGTGTCGCCTTCGTCTCTGTAAACATATGGAGGAAAAGCGGTCAAGCGCCAAAGCATACATGTATCACAGGCCCAATACCAGGAACGTGTACCTATAGCTTCCATAAAGAGTTCTTTAATCATAACTAGTCGATGTATTGAACATCGACTAGTTGCGATTAAAGAACTTATTAGTTCTAAAGTTTTTTGGCGCACCATTTGTTTTAATAATTAAGCCCGTGTCTTTAATATTTTCAGTCAAAAATTTATATTGTCGACACACAATCAAGTTAAAACTGCCTAAAGTTACTTACACGTAGTCAGCAAAATCTCAGGAGTGGGAAGTGAATAAACTGATTGATAAACGTAGAATCGAGAGAGAGAGATGAGTCGAGGCATTAGTACAGGGTCAGAGTACATGAAAATATGTTCAAACACTTTTATTATTTACTCTGCTCTTCATATTTATTATTATTACTAGCCGGTACCCGCGACTTTGTTCACGTGGAATTTGAAAGGCGCTGCCTTAGTGGGTTCGATTCCCGGACAGGGAAAATTTTGTATGGTTTTCTGAGACTAAAAATAGCCTTAGTTACTCCTTATATTGACAGCTAAATGGTAGTAAAATATTATCAAAATCGGTCTAGCCGTTTAGAAGATTACCCGAACAACCAGACAGACAGACAAAAAAACTGGTTTTTAGGCATAGGTATCGTGCAAATAACTATGTGAGCATATTACAAACAGACACATCTATTTTATTTATTTGGATAGATTATAATCTATCAAAATTGGAAATCAAATCAAAAAGGAATGCACGTATTCAATCAAAAGTATTCTGAGATCTTTTTTCTAACTATGGTATCAATAAAGTTTTTGGTGATATTAATAGTATTTAGTAATAGCACTTTAAAGTATTTACACTACTAAGTTAGGACCTTAAACAGCTTGTAAAATATGATCTCTTAATCTTATCTTTGCTTAAGACTTCCAGGTCGGGGTACTCAGTATATACAAGTATGAATAAGTTATTCTCACTTTGTTATAATATTTGGGTCAGCTCCATTGTCCACAAGAAACTTGGCGGAAAATGCATCACGGGCATCAACGGCTCTGTGTAAAAGCGTTCTTCCTCGTGGACCACGAGCGTCTGCATCTGCGGAATGTTGCAGTAGAGTCATAGCTATCGAAGAACTACGTCCTCGCAGAGCCAGCTCCAGGGGTAGCTCTCCTCGAGAAGACATAGCGTTTACTATGTCTGTCAGCTGTAACAAAATAAAAGTATTACAAGAATTATTTTGTTCTGATACCAAACCAACTCATGTATTACCGGGAGCTTACTTTGCTAGGTAACATATAGTCAGGGTTTCTCATTGTGAATAGATGCTTAGGCCTTAGGTATATTAGTAATTACATGTTATTTAGCCTGCAATTTGTCGCTGTGGAATAAAAAGGCAACCAGAGCCAATAAATCCATGAGCCCTTACAGTAGTGGAGCACATTATGTTGAATGTGGATTTACTCGAGCGTCATGGAGACCTATCGCATTTCAAAGATTAGGTAATACAATGACTAAAAGTTTTAAAAGGTATTCACTTTCAAAGGTGGGACAAGCTTCTACAGGTTTTCAAAAATGTAAGGGGAGGAAATCGAAAAAAATATATTTTCGGGCGCATCAGATATTCTGGGGATATGTTATTTAGACGCCAAAAATGCTCCCATTGAAAGGTCTGAAGATTTTAAAGTGACACAAGCTCGTAGCAAAATTATCCAAAATGCAAACTGCCCGATGCAATTCGAAATACCCGAGCGTGTTAGAGAGATTTTATACAGACGGTTCAGCTTGACATTCCTCTCATACTAACTAAAAATATGACGATAATTTTGAAGGGTATTTTAAATCCGACGGTTAGTTTTTTTCTTAAAACATATTTTGACAAATAAAGGCACGTAAAATTATGTAGACATTTAAAGAAGATTTTTTGCATTGTTTGCTTCAAAATAAAAAGAAAATGTCAAGGTTTTTTTTTTAACTTTTAGACACTTCCACTGCTTTCTCCTACTGCTTTTTGTCACACTCAAATCATCAGCTTTTTTTAATTACACAATAATGTGCATGTAATTAACTCAACTTACCTTAACCTTACACGCTCGAGTATTTCTGGCCTACGATTTTTTTAAACTAATCTGATAGGCTGTCCTAAACACCTACACCACGTCCTAAACGCTGTATGTATAGGATTAATGTATGGTGGAGGCACTCAATTTGGTGTAAGGTTTTCCTCCTATATTAATCTGACACGCTAGAGTAAAGCCCGAAATCCCTTCTAGGGCTCACCTAATATTATGAACACAAATTTTACTTGTGCATTGAGTATATACTAGCAGTTGACAAAATCATTTGCAAATATTTTTGTATCATAAGCCATGTTTTCCCCCAAACGAGCATACGGGCAATCTGATGGCAAAAGACTATGGCCTTCCTTTGATTCCTGCAACCCAAGAGTCACAAGTTCGCAGACAGTTTTGTTCTTGAATAATTATATCACTGTAGAAATAATCTTGATATATTATCTTTTACATATATTCAACTTGTGTGATAATGACCATATGATAGATATTACAATATTAAATTTTTTAAACAACAAGAATAAATCATTTAAAAAAAAAGTTGAACTGCCTTCAAACAATAATAACAAAGAGCACTAAAAATCTACCAGCAATCGCGGTTAATTTCCTGTCATTTTTTGAAGAGTTCCGTTGTATGTCTGCGAAACCTACGAGGGGTGATCAATAAGTAATGATAATCAATATGAAACAGAACTATTAGATTAAAAAAAGTATTTTATTTTTCAACATAGTCTCCTTGCAAGTTAATACATTTAGTGTATCTTTTTTCTAAGCCCATGATTCCCTTAGAAAAAAATTCTTTGTCTTGACCCTCCCAAAATGCCTCTACTGCGGCCATCACTTCACTATTGTCCTCAAATTTGTTGCCCCGGAGGTGTTCTTTGAGCCGAGGAAAGAGGTAGAAGTCACTGGGGGCTAGATCTGGCGAATAGGGAGGGTGTTCGAGCAGTTCGAACCCCGTTTCTTCAATGGCAGCCATCGCAACTGCGGCTTTGTGAGCCGGGGCGTTGTCTTGGTGAAACAGCACTCCAGCGCGCAGTTTACCGCGTCTTTTTGACTTAATAGCTTCTCGCAATCTTCTTATTTGGCCTGCGTAGTAAGAGCCTGTTATAGTGGCCCCCTTTTCCAAATATTCCACCATAATAATTCCTTCTGCATCCCAGAAAACAGACGCCATAACCTTTCCCGCTGAACTTGACACTTTGAATTTCTTCGGCGTTGGTGAGGAAGCTCGTTTCCAAGTCATTGATTGTTTTTTGGTTTCGGGATCAAAGTGGTGGATCCACGTCTCGTCCATGGTCACAAAACGCGACAAAAAAAATTCTTTATCGGCCTGGAACTTTTGAAGATTCACCCTCGAAATGTCTACTCATATGCATTTTGTTGACAATGATTTTTTGAACGCTGCCATAGGAGATCCCTGTGACCTCAGCTACATGCCTTACGGTCACCCTTCGATCGGCCAACACGATATCTTCCACTTTTTTGACGTTTTCTCCAGTAAGGGACGTGGAAGGACGTCCCTCGCGATGTTCATCTTCAGTGGAGGTTCTGCCCAGCTTAAATTCCTTTGCCCAGCGTGCGACTGTGGAATATGGAGGAGCAGACTCCCCCAATGTTTCCTCTATCGCTGGTCGCTGTGTATGTCTTTGGTAGCCATTTTTTTCAGGCAAAGGTACTTGATGACAGCTCTTATTTCATTTTTCTCCATTTTGATGTTTTCTCTTCGACAGTTCGTATTCAAATGAATGTATCTCCCGGTAATGGTGTCCTATTTATACATTTTTTTGAAGCTGAAGTAGTGGATATATAAGCAAGCAGAAAAAAAATAATTTGGGTTTTTGTGCGTTCTAGAAATACTCGATTATCATTACTTATTGATCACCCCTCGTATTTCGAACAAAAAAAAATTGAAAATCCGTCCATATATGACGGGAGTTATTTCCGAAAATACATTTAAAAAAAACATCCGAATTGATAACCACCTATTTTTTAAAGTCGGATAATGAATGTACAGAAGGTGAAAACAAAGGATTAAAAAGACAATCTAAAAGCCTTAGTTCTATAGCTATTTGCACGTAGGGTAGTGTGTGTAGTGTTATAGTAAGTTTAACAACATGACATAAATTATCAAGTTACACAAGTTTAAATAAAACAATCACGTAACGGAAGCATCTGAACCAATTGTCATCAATTCATCATTCATTGATTTGTAAGCAAGCGTAGGCTATGAAGTAAGCGGGCGGTAAAGTTTAAAGAATACGATACGGGTCCGTGACTAATACGAAAGGTTTAAAATCATACATTCCCATTGATTTCCTATTGAGTCACATCTAACAAAATAATAAATAAACTCTTTTAAAAAACAATTGAACCGACTTCAAACAAAACTTTTGTAAACGAGCACTAAAAAATAAATAAATTAGAAATCTAATTGAAAAACCATAATAGGTGCGACCCTGGATATAACAGGAAACATTATAATAGCCATAGATACCTTCTAGTCTATTTGAAGTCAGTGCCAATCTTGGGACCAATGGGGAATAGCAATAGGTACCCTTCCAAATAAAAAAAAAAATTCGCAATGTGTTTACAAATGAAGAAACTCCTTCGTTTGTAAACATATTGCGAAAATTATAGGCGAGGTAACAAATATGAAAATAATTGCGTAACAAACATTTTTTTTGTCAAAATGTAAGTTTTGTCGTATGCGAAATAAATGTAAGATATTGTTTAGTTGAGGGTAGATTTATAAAGGCAAACTAATATCAACAATAACAGTACAAGTTTCGTAACGTAAAGTAGCTTTGTAGATTTATTGCGTTTTTTCTTAAATTAAACATGAGTGAATTTACTCGTGTAATAATGTTATATAATTTCAAGCGTGGCTTGACTAAGCAACAGTGTTTTGAAGAAATGAGTGGTGCATTAGGATAAACGTGTCCTTCCTTAAGGACTATAGAAAGATGGTTTATTCAGTTTAATCGCGGCAATTTTAGCTTGGAGGACGATTCGAGGCCGGGTAGGCCAATAGAGCTGACTACCGATAGAAACATTGAGGCAGTGCGAAAACTACTGGAAGAAGACCGGCATGTGACATATCGACAGATCGAGGAAACCCTGCATTTAAATGTACCAACTGTTCATCGAATTCTTCAGGAACATCTAATAGTTAGGAAACTTTGTTCACTTTGGGTACCACATTCGATGACTGACGAGTTAAGGGAACAGCGTATGAATTGGTGTCATGAGATGTTAGAAAAATTTGACGGCGGCAAATGAGTACGTCAATTCAATCATTACATGTGATGAAACTTGGCTTTACTATTTTGATGTCCCAACTAAATCCCAAAGCAAAGTATGGGTGTTTCAAGATGAAGATACGCCAACGTCTGTCAAAATGTCTCAAAACGCGGCATATTGTCGACTATCGTGCTTGATAAACAGAAGACTGTTACTGCTAGTTGGTACACAGAAAAATGTTTGCCTCGAGTTTTAGAAGCGTTGAAAAATGAGCGACCAAACTCAAGACTCGACACATGGTTTCTGCATCAGGACAACGCTCCCGCACATCGGGCTGGCAAAACTATAGACTATTTGCGTGAAGTTGGAGTGAAATTACTGGGACATCCTCCTTATAGTCCATACTTAGCGCCATGCGACTTTGCACTGTTTCCTTATGCAAAAAAAGCACTAAAAGGACGCAAGTTTTCTAATGACGAAGAGCTTATAGGCGCATTTGAAGAGATATGTGGTAGTATACCAGATGGTTTCTGGGGCGACGTATTTGGTACATGGTTCGACCGTATGAGAGCAAGTATCAGCGCTAATGGGCATTATTTCGAAAAAAAAAAAAAAAAAAAAAGGGCGACAAAATGTATGTAGTGACCTACGTATTCTCGGGTGAGCATGAAAAAAATCTATTATTATGACATTACAAACATACTTCAATTTTATTTATTTGTATAGAAGAGTTATCTTCTAACTTCTAAAGGTCAAAGACCCTTCCATCATCAGCTTAGCAGAATGAGATAACGAATACCAAAGGCAAATACCTGTATGGGTAGAGAAGCAAGCTAAATCACGTTATTGGGGCTATAAAGTTTGAAGGTTTCCCTCTACTTTTCTGGGATCCCATCATCAGATCCTGATTTGGTGGTAATGGGACCACCTGGGGAGTATACCCTTTAGATAACAAAAATAATTTTGAAAATCGGTAAACAATTGTTGAAGATATCGCGTAA